CTGTTATTCAATGATCAGCTGCTTGAATATTGTCATTGCGAGTCAGAGGAGACGCTCGTATATTTCTTCTTCTGATCATACTTGTGGAAGATACAGTTTCTAAGAGTACGGAGGAACACGTTGTCCACAGATGAAAGCCCAGTATTCAAGAGGTTACGTTGACGATACCAGATTCAGCATTTGATTAATTGATTCTTACAAAAGACAAAGGGATATCGTGAACTGATCCTAACTTCCATTATCGAAAGAGTTATTTATAGGTGGTTTTTGTAGCGATTTCCCTTATCCCTTCACAAGAATGATACGAAAAACTACTCTTGTACCAAATCATTTCACGTGTTGCAATATACAGGGAATATAAGAATATGTTTTTTCAAAGAAGTAAAGCAAAAAAATGAAATGCAGAATCGATTCGATTGGAAATGCTGTTTTCTATTTTATATCTGCAGAAGTAAATATTTTTTGAAGTTTTGGTTATTTTTGACATCGATGTCACTACGAAAAAATGGATTAACCTGAGTGGTTTGTAAGAGTCAGACTAATAGTTGATTATTGACTATTATGCTTTATGCACATGTAGTTGTGCGTGACCAACAAGGCGATTACTACCGTTAGGTTTATTGATTATAAATATTATTAAAATTATATACCATTTTATGTTGACTTGTGTTATAAACTGTTGGGCCATTAAGAAATTACTTTGATGATCAAACTGAATTAAGAAATATCTCACAGTTCTTTTTATCAATATTATCACATAATTCGTATGGGACTGACTTGATCAATGCATACACTGTTAACAGTGTGTATTAGCTGCATAGAATGGATAAAAAGTGCTCTAATGTTGATTGGTATTTTAAGTTGGTCTTTTTTTCTACAACAGTTTTTATGTGTCATGCAACAGTTTCTGTAACAATGTAACACACTGTATATTACTCAATTTTTGGTTTCTTCGAAAAATTCTAGACATATTTTATGTACAATGTTCTAAAGCTTGCTCAATTTATTTCGGAAATAATGTGTTCTCAGATTTATGGCAAAAATCAACAGGAAAAAATTATTCAATTACAGAATTTTGCTACATCCTCAAAAACTAATGGACATTAACGTTAATTTCTTAAGAGGTACGCTACTCGCTGTGTTTCAGTGCATTGTTTTTCATAAATATAAAATCAAAATTAATTATTAATTAATTGAGGAAAATTCAATCTACCAAGAGAGTAGATTTTACATTTACTGACTCTTGAGACAGACCAAATAAACACGAGGCTGATGCACAGATAAATGCACACTTTATTTATGAAATTTAAAAATACATATAATCAACTTACTGATGACTTGATAGTGTATCGGAATGTTATTTTGCTTTCTTTGCATGAGGCTTCTCATTTTCACTTTCTAAATTATCACAGTCAGACATATTTAATTAAAAAAAAATTATTTATTTGGTGAAACAGAGATTATTTATACTGTAGTAAACACAAATGTATATACTATAGGTGTCCCAGCTCAGTGTGGCGAGAGAAATAGCGTAACGTCGAACCAGTGGGAAGAGAATCGCACAGTTGCCTGTGCATGGTGACCTGCCGCCTCGGCATGATGTTTCATATCGAAAACTTGGGAAAAATTAATGGTTTATTTCACTGGAGGGAAACTTTTTCACCTAGTCAATCTGCGCACATCGCTATTGAATATGTTCGATTGTGCTTTCCACGTGCTCTTTAATTGTTGTTGAATAGCAACTACTTCAGTTCTTGCCAAGTTGGTGTTAAATGCACCGTTTGGTAGTTCTGATGTGAAGCCACAGGATCAGGGTAATCTTGTAAATGCCGGCGGATGACAGAGACTCCCTTTTTGTTTTTGACCAACCTGATAGTATTGCGTAGTTGATCAGATGGCTTGTTAATGGTCTTGATGTAGTGAGGTTGAAACAGTTTTCCAATGGCATCCGTGATATTAGTTATGTGATGCAAGGAGACTGTGTCTGTCACTGGCGAGTGGTTCGTATTGAAAGGTGGAGGGCTTGTTTGATTTTTTGTAGAACTTGGTCTAAATGAAACGTGGTCTGAAAAACCCGCAATTGTCTCTGATCTTTCACCAAAATATGTTAAAGTTTCGTGAATTTGAGGCTTTGTTTTTTGAATTTTATATGTTTTGAAACCATTACTATGTCCTATTTGTATATTCATTTCAATTTCCCTATTTAGATTGCTAGTAGATGGAGGCAACGAGAATGTTCTAGGTATCTTCACGGATCTTATGTGCCTTCGATTCAATCAATCATTCAACTTTATTAAACAAAATGAGCTACTATGGCATTCGTGGAACCTGTCAACAAATGTTCACTCCGTATTTGACCAACCGAATACAGCGAGTGGAGTGCAATAATAAAAAAGTCAATTCCTACAAATTGAAAGGGCAGTACCCAAGGTTCAATCTTGGGACCTCTGCTGTTCCTCATTTATATTAATGACCTACCCTATAATGTGGCTGCACATAACAGATTATCTGTACTCTTTGCAGATGACACTACACTCACAATCAGTATAGAAAGGGATGAAGATCTCAAAATAGCTCAAGATGATGTCAGACAACAAGCACATTCAAGGTTTGCCAGCAATTAATTCATACTGAATGAGAGTAAAAGTGTAAGCCTAAAATTTGATTGCAGGCCAAATAATTCTGCTAATCAGGAAGAAATGTATGTAAATGTGAAATTTCTAGGTGTACAAATTGACAGTCACCTCCAGTAAAGTTGGTAACAGCTTTTATCACTAGAACCACTGACATATGTCATGTCAACTATCTGTCAATCCTTCCAAATTGATGTTTTGTGAAATTTCGACATGTGACATAATTCTTCCTCCAAAATAATTTTAAACTGTAACGTTTTTCACAAATATTTTATCCAATATGAGACATCCTTTAACCAGTTTTATAAATGTATTGTATCAATGTTCATCCATCATGTTGTGTCCAATATTTTACATAACCATCGTATGAAACATCCTCAAAAAGTTGTAAGTCTAACCATTCATAATTATATATTAATATTACTCACACCCTCAAATTGTAGCATCCCTGATGATGGAAACAATTTATTATTATAAGTAATTTTTCATAGAGAAGGTTTTTAGGCGCCACTAGATGGCGCTGTAGAACAATTTTTTGAAGGCACTTTTCATAACGCTGCGCACGCCTAAGATCGTTGATTCTGATTCTGTCAAAACATTGGAACAGCAGCGATACAGCAACATAGTACTAGTATAATATAAATTGATTTGAAATCCCTAAAAAATAGGGGAAAAAAAAGAAACAAAAAAGAAAAAGAAAAAAAAAGAGAGAGAAAAGAAAGACATTTTTTGAAAATTAAAAACTTTTTTTTTCTTCTTCTTTTTGTTCAAGGACTTCAAAGCACTTCTAGAATCGTACTTATCCCACCGTCAACAATATAATGGTTGCAATTCAGAAATGGATAAAGCAATTAGCGGTGTATCACAAGGATACAATTTGGGTCAACTATAGTTTTTATTATACCTAGGTAAATGACATGCGTCTATCTCTCGTTATTTGTAATTATATACTTGATATATTGATTTATTTTCAAGGATGGTATATCAAAAATTGTCTCTTAGTGAAAATAACCATTCACTAGAGAAAACAATAGTATTCAATAAGGATACTCATTCGATTATGTAGAGTTGAAGCGTACTGATTAGATGAAAGATCTAGGAGTCCTTTATGATGCAAAGCTTACCTTCAATATATGACTTTCTTAAGGAATTGTAGAGATTTTACAAATTTGTCTGCTCTAGCGACATTGTATCATTGTTTTGTTTGATCTAATTTGGAATATGGATCTCTGATATGGAACTGAAAACTCCACGACAAATATCGTCTTGCTCTGGTGGTCGAAAATGAACAACAAGAAATGAAAATTGAAAATAAAAGATTCCAAACCAAGTTACTTCACGATGTTTCGATTGTTAGTATCCACAATCGTCATCGGGTGATAATACCTTCAAACAAACGAAGTTATCTGGTATTTGGATAAATCACTAAAGATGGTTTCGTTAGTGGAAAAAAAGTTTGATCAGTTCAAAGTGCTCACTTTTGAAAAAAAGAGTGCAAAGTGAAAAGAGCATTTTGGTAAGTTTGTAAAAAATTGCATTATCATCAAGACATTCAAAAACTATCAATGATTCGCAGTACCTATATGCGCTATAATGTGTATTGATCAATGTAGTAGTAGTTGAGAAAAATAGGATTTTTGTAAATTTACAAAAAATACTCTTTCCAAGCTTGAGTTTTTCAGAACTGACCACTTTGAACTGAACTCTGCCTTTAAGATGTAACAAAACAATTTACTACATATCATTCTTCTTTTATTTTAGTACAAAAAAGTCGAGATGGCATACGTCTATCTCTTGAAGATATCTTACTTTACCCAATTCATTTTTGACAAAAATAGTTACATATAATGTAACACATAATGACGAATACCTACGATATCAATACTTTTGAAATCAAATACGTTAGCTACCATGCACATTCAATTGGCCTTAATACCATACAATTTGGATTATTATCTTAGGAATTTTGCAAAATCAACACTATCGCGCGACCAATTCAAGTGGCCTTACATATCAAATCAACACGTGCGATGAAAAAAGGTTACGCTTCCACGTGGTGGGATTCTAATCTTCCTTAGACGATTCATCGAAACCTTAAAGTGACTCTTAAGAAAAACGGCCTACTTAAACATCAGTTGAGATATTATAAGATCAGTCAATTGGAAAAAGTAAGGTCACAGTCGCATCAATTGAAAATAACCTTCTTTTTTAAAAAGTAACCGCTGTCAAAAATGCTGGTCAGCCAGTGCCTAGGAAGTGGTTTCAGATTGTTTCAGAGAAACTTCTGCATTCTGTGTCTATTTTAATTTTTGATAAATATAACTGCATCATCAAAAATATGTAATTATTTATTTATTCATTTTGCAGAGTATCGTTCTGGAGGAGACAGATAAAATGGATGTTTTGAGACAGAAGAGAGGTGTTGATAAGCAGTATTCCTTCGATGTGGTTTTCGGAGAAGACTCGACCCAAGAAGAGGTTTACGAAGTCACTACAAGTAACCTCCTCAAAGACGTGCTGAAAGGGTAAGAGAATAATGTTTCAAGTATGTTAAATTTTATAGTTGAACAAGTAATTATAGTTGCTTCAAATGTTCATGAATTTGTTGAAGTATGAAAATCAACAAGACCGTAATTTTCGAAATGAAATGATTTGAATTTTCAATAATGTGATATGTACATAATGCTGTACATGAAAACTTGAGAACATATTCATTTGGTTAGTATCACACGAGAACTTTTAAGGGTACTGATTATATCTGATCACCCTCAGACCTTCCTCAATACTATACATATATATTCAAATAGATCAGTTGACAAAAAATTGATAGATATTTGACAGCTTTCTAAAATGTTTTTGCCAATATATCTCTGGCAAATAGATGACTACCAGAACATCTTCGAACTGAACAAAAAAAGAGTCAACAGCTACATTGGAACTGAGCGAACCGGACACACATAGAAAAGGAAGAAACGAAGACTTTATCTAAAAATGAAAACGAAAAATCGAATGAATAGTTTTCAAATATGAATAGAATATGAAGAAAAATATTGGAATGTGGAATGTATTCTGTCCAATGAAAAATGGGACAATATGTAGTTCATAGTAAAATAATGATTTTCCGATAGAAAATTTCACTTCTTCAACAATGAATTCAATTGAGAAGCGAAAATTAAAAGTAGTCGAAGGGTGGAATTAAAATTTCTTCAAGATGATAGAGGTGAGAGAAGATAAGAGCAAAGAACGTTGAAGAAGGCATGGATCATGTTCTGCAGATATATAAAACATGGGTTCTCTTTTAACTTTTAGGAAAAAGTTACATAAAAGACTGACGTTTAAAGCCTATTACAATCTGACAGAATATTTTAATGACGAAACTATATGAAATTAACGGTGCTTATATGTAATATTATATATGTGTACTTTTACCTAGATGTACTTATTTATATGCATTGTTTTCATGTAATTATGTAATTGTATATTTATATGGATGTAGTCATTCACATGTTCTTTTTTTTACCAGTGTTTGTCAACAGGATTCTGTATCTTGGATAATTAACACGTACTTTCTCTCTCTTATAAAACGTGTGTAGAAAAGATAATGGACAAAGCTAATTATTATTATTATTATTATTATTTATCAACTTCAGGTACAATATAAAATATAGAATATAGACATAGTAAAAACAAGTTAAGTTAATAAACTAAGAAGTCACATAAACTGTTTCCAGTTTGTGTGTGACTGTGAAAATTACAATCAAAGTTAAAATCACTTAAAGAAAACTAATAAAATAATAAAAATACAACATTCATATTCAACCCTAGATATATCCTTATTTACACTTGAAAAATAATATGAAGAATAATTACGAAATATCAAGTGACCCTGAAAGGCTAAAAGAAATAAGGTTATCCACTTTTTGAACCAGACAAAGAGGTATTGATGGTGATTACGAAAAATTTCTGGCGATGTTGAAAAATAGACGAGAACAAAAAAAATATTCACAAATATTCTCTGAAGGAATTGCATGACAGAAGTCTATTTAGTTTTATAATCAAGTTACAGAACAATCTGGAAAAAGGACAAAAATGTAACAAATAGGAGGAAATGTGATGAAGAAAATACTTCTGAAATTGAATAACAATTATAGTAGACTAAAACGGAACTGCAACAAAACAAGATTGTATATGCAAATAGGGTGAATCATTCAAAAGGTATAGCAAAATATCTGCCAGAAAAAAACTTTCTCCAAAATCTAGAAACACTTCGAGTTTGCTTGTGAGGAGTGAGTTGTGACCTGAAAACCCTTGCAAAATTTTCAACTCTCAAAGCTGAGGTATTATCCCCAAAAGTTTCTTACAGAAAAAGGGGAGTCACTAAAATGGGCTTTTAATTTCGATCCATTGCTCTTACTCGAACTGCGTGACATTGATTATTCATCTTGACAGGTCTATCAGTCAGATGAACCTTTATGTGCCCCCCAGAAGAAATCTAAAATCCGGCGATCAAGAAGGTTACTCAGTTGCTTGCACCTATCTTTTATTAACTTAACTATTTTGTGAATGATGATGAGAAGTACCGTTTTGATGAAATATCATTTCCTCTCAAATGTATGTTGGATAAATGAGTATTCATACACCCAGTACTAGTTACTTCAGTTTTTCACGACATTACCATACCATACTCAACAAGCCAATGAAAGAAATAAAAAAATCATTAGTTATCTGTACCATCTTTCTCGTGAATGAGTTTATTTCCTTTAGAATAATATGAAAATATTTCTCTACTGCTTCATTACACAGCTATCAAAATTCTTCATAATTTTTGATTATGTATGTAATGTAAAAGAAATAGTTGACACATTATTTGACTTTGTACAGCTCTGTCTGAGTGCATTTTCAGTAAATGAGTCATTATATCGCCAACGATGTCTGATAATAGCGCTCAATAATAATCAAAATATCACTCTATTATATTTCATACTTAGGTAAATGAGCCTAATGGTTGATATTTCTCTTCTATCAATATGAAAGTATGTATAATAGGTACCTATTATTGATTATTCATTCGTTCCACAATTCTTTAGAACTCACTCAAATTATTGAAATATCATTGAATATGAATATGGCTGACCTTCAGAAACACCTAATGGTATTCATCAGATAGTAATAAATGTCAAAAGTCCAGAGTTAAAGTCCAAAGTTAACGAATTAACCTAGGTCTCTTGTAGTGCTTAGACATGTATCTTTTTAGGCAGGTCATGTACTTTTCCTATTGAGGGAAATACATTTTAGTACACTTACTGTTAGCGATAGAACTTTGCCCATTTGCTTTCTTGAAATTATATTCCAAAGGGTTGCTAATCTTCCATTTGTGAAATAGCTACTGCTTGGCATGTGCTGGATATTATGATATGAACAACTCCAAGCTTAAAAAAATATATATTTTGTATTTCAATTCAGCTGTATATACTGTTCCACTGTTCTTGATAGCTACCTTTTTTTTTTGTTCTTACGGCTGGATGGAAGAGCAATCTGTGCGTTGATTTATCATACGCAGATATTGAATCCTGCCATTAGATTGGTTGTAATCTTATAGAATTATCAATGAAAGCAATTATTATAATTATTATTATTATTGTATCAAATGACGTATGATTGTTCCAGACTATTAGGAGATTTCATTTACGGTAATTTTCATGTTCTCTTTTCTCAACTCCATCTACTATATTGTGACACTTGCTGATCAGCAAGACAAATCCACAGTAGATAACATTTATAAGATTCAACTTTTTCTAACATTTCTAAGGAGGAAATGAAAATACATTTTTTTAAGGTCAACACAAAAATGTTATTTTTGAAAGAAAGGTTTTGGGTTTCTTCAGACACAAACTGAAAAAAGGCCCTCTCGAAACAACTACTTTAATATAAACATTGAAGAACATGAAAAAATAAAAATTATTTCGAAACAGTTACTTCTATATGAACATTGAATTATAAAATACGTTTTCGTTTTCAGTTTGTACTCCAAACATTTGATATGAAATTGAAACAGATATTATGCACAAGGTTGCTACATAATATATTATAGTATATGAAAGAGATAAAATTTCACTTACATAAATTACTTTCGTCCTCAATGGTGGACATCGATGTTTCGGAATGAAAAACTTGTCTTATTGCCTCTTCAGTTCTAATATAGAACACTCAATACATTCATAACAATACGACTTTATGACACGAATGAGTTAAATCTACTCATATCATTGATGTAACAGTACATAATGACATTCATTCACTAATTTGATTTAATCCCGGCTATAGGAATCTTGTTTAAATTTAAGGGTTCAATTTTAAGAAGAGATTGATTTTTGGGTAAGAAAGATTTCGGCGTTTTACTTATCCATCTCTATAAATAAATAAAGGAATCTTCTAAAGGAAGGAAGAAAGTAATTACTTTCGAAATAAACTCTTTGCAAAGAAGTAGATAACTTCCAGATATGAACTGAAAGAAACCGCTACTGTCATATAAACATTGAATTATACAAAAAATATTTTTTCCTATTCAGTTCGTATTACAAACATTTGTTATGGAATTGAATCAGATATCATCCATAAGATTGCTACACAATATAGTATGTGAAGGAGGTGAAATTTCACTTACATGGGATACTGTTATCCCCAATTGCGAACATCGATGTTTCGGAATGAGCCACTGGCCTTATAGCCTCTTCAGCACCAATCTGAATAACATTACAGATTGAAGCACTCAATCCATTCATACTATCACGACTCTATGTTATGAATGAGATGAATATATTTCAAACTCTGCTTACTTTCTCTGTTATAAAGGCCTGTTTTATTCAGATATTATCTAATAAGTACTAATGAAACCATTTTTACCCGAAAATATAAGTCGAAGGCATGTGGTCCCCCCAGACGCACCCTGGCGTTGGATGCGATCGGGCGTGGAGGGGTGGATTTTCGGGAAATCCTTGCGGGTACCGCCCCTTACCCCACACCAACAGGATTTCGCAGGGCTTCCTCCCGCTCACCGAACCCGGAATTGCTTCCTGACATCTACTTAGTGTGGCTAACCAAGAGACAGGACCATCGGCAGCGTTCGACCGAACGTTCGTACAAGTTAAGTAAGCTCTTCTTTCGCCAGAGAGTGCTCGCGTCGCACACCTGCCCCCGCCAACCATGCCAAATCAATTGGGAATATGGTCCCGGAAGTGGCCGGCCGGGGTCCTAAGCTCGGATACTAGTAGCTCCGTCCAATCGGGTTCCGACACCTCAAGCGTCTGCCTTGGTGCCCTCCAAGGCTAGACTCGGATACTAGAGCCCGGAAGGACCGCGAGCCCCGACACCTCGAACGCTTGGATCCGTACAGAAGCAGGCGAGGATCACGGAACAGCATAAGCCGTCCAGTGCCTCAGAATGGGGCTGCAATGCACCCATGAATGGATTACCGCAACCCGTATCCCTTTACCCGCTAGCGGAGCCGCTGCCCCTAAGAGGCCAACGCCAGTTGGAGATGAGGCTCACTAGCCTCCAGCCACGAGCGGGCACTCACCTCCCCCCTAGAACTCATGTTAGGAAAGTTCCCTTTCCAACGTTTGATGAGTAACCGTCGAGGACTCTCACGAGCATCCTCTACCACACATCATATGTCGAAGATGTCGCGCCCATTACCCGATTAGGTGCGGGATAGGGCGGTTCATCAACAACTTTTGGGTGTACGCCGTGTGGTCTGCACCGCATACCCTTACGTTACCCCAAGGGGCACTCATGTTAGGAAAGCTACCTTTCCAGCGTTGGATGAGTAACCGCCGAGGGCTCTTGCGAGACACCTCTCCCACACATCTAGCTTGAAATCGGCCAACGCCTGTTGCCCGCAGATGCGGGATTGGGTGGTTGACCGATAACTTTACTGGGTGAGTGCCGTGTGGTCTGCACCGGGGGACTGTCAAACACCCATAAGAGAGAGACAGTGATCCCCCGCCACTCACTCATGGTGTCAGTGCTTCCTCAGATCAGGTAGAATTCATGACCATCACATATAAATATGAACTGTGAAATATTTGCTTCGCTTGCTCTCATTAGCTTTTCTACATATCTGGTTGGAGTTGATCCGGGTCTATTGTAAGGAAGGTATGCTAATCCAATGATGACTTCTAAAGTACTCTTTCACTGACTATCTTGGTCAAAAGTTGCTCAAAAGCAGTGTTTGATCCCTTTCTGATAATCACACGTGGTCATATTGTCTCCGAGGTTATGGAATTTGCATAATTTATTCCTTTTTTACACGAAATTTTTGTATGAGAAATAACACTTTCCAATTACATTCCTAGGATCACCGGAGATCCTTTACTGTGTAGTAGGTTGACTGGTTATACTCTCATTGCGAGTCAGAGGAATCGCTCTCCTTCTTCTGTTCATATGTCGGTCCATTCAGTTCTCAGAGTATGGGAAAAGTGTCGTCCACATCCATGAAGCTCTCTGGATGGGTGAAAGGTTTTGTACTCTGGAAGATCGCTTGATGTCCCAGTATCTCTGTTGGTAGTACCTCATACGACCATATTTCGGTACAGGTCGCATAATACCATTTGAGTTGCCTCTCACAACAGGCAAAGGATTCCGCGGATTGATTCTGATCTAATACCGTGGAGGGAGTCTTAGTTAAGATTAGTTTCTAATCATGGCAATTTGAGGATGTTCCAATTACCTCCCATTTATCACAAAGGTATTATCATTAAAAATGAGTTGTGTGTGGTTTGAATCTTCAAATTACGTAGTTGAAGTTTTAGCACTATATGTTTGAGAATGTCATTTTGAAGGAAATAAGTATTATGATAGGAACTATTATTATTGTTAACATTGGATTCATTTTTACAGGTATAATGGAACAGTTTTCGCTTATGGACCAACTGGAGCAGGCAAAACTCATACCATGGTCGGAGATAGATCTCAGCCTGGTATCATGATCCGAGCACTGAACGATTTATTCGAAGCTGTGAAAGATAAAGAAGATGAATATTCGGTAAAATTCTGAATTTTGTTACGTACATATTCATGTGTGTATTGTCATTAGATTTGCTCCAGAAATTTGAAATGACATATATTTCGATTTATATTTTCTGTAAAACTAATAATGGTTTGAATCGAAAAGGGTATATGCTTAGGAGATATTGACTTTTGGGAAAGAAATGTTTTGGCTCAATACTTCTCCACCTTTATACAAAAAAGTGGTGATTTTCCAAAAAAAAAGATGAATATTCGGTAAAATTTAATTTTGATTTTGTTACATTCATATTCATATGTGTGTAGGTATGCATGATAAAGAGGATTGTTATTATAATGTATTCTATTTGCTGCAAAAATTTGAAATGACATATTTTGCCCTTCATTTTCATCTCTGACAGTTACTTCTTTGCATGATCTACACATCATTGTATGGAGTTACTTTTTAAGAATTGGTTGCTTCCTTCCTTTCTTTGGAAGATCCCCAATTTTTTTTGTATAAAGATGGAAAAGTAGAAAGCCAAACCCTTTCTTTCCTAATGGAAGCGTTGTGAATTTCCCTTTTTTCTAGTTAGAGAAAACTTATGATGTCAATGGGAAATTGTATAACCAATAATATTAATTCTCTAATATATTTCTTGAATTATTGGTACGTTCGAAAAACATGTGATTCAAATTTCCAACTGATAAACCATTGCATGCAGAATTCAGTATGAGAATTTTCGTTAGGTGTGAAGGAAAGCAACCATAGTTCAATTTGAATTAGCGATAGTTGATGAATAAAATTCAGTAACTCTGTATTTTGAAATGTAAGGAATTTTTTTTGGCAGAGAGAGGTGTACGAATATATACTGGGTTGTTGCTTGAACGAACAAGACAGCCATTTGCTATTTCACTGTTCTTTTTATAAAGTTACATACATATTCTCATTCTATGCCGAAGACCCCTCGTTGAACAAGACAAGAGTTCAGTAAGTATTTGCTCGCACAAGTCTCCAGAAGGCTTCGGAGTATCGTTGTTCATAGAGGAATGACAGTGTTTGATGGAAAACGTGTTCAACTCATCCCTATATATCTCACTTCTGTATTTCGATGAAGGATATGGGATTTTTGAAGAATGGAAACGATTAATAAATAGTAATTTTTTGAATCCACAGACGTTCCTTCCAGATACAATCAGAAAGAAGGAGTTCATTTGAATTTATGAATTTTTCGAATTTGAAATTGTTCAACTACATCAACAAGAGTTGACCAATGACCAACTGCACCTGAATAGGAAGCAACGAACAGAGGATACTGTGTGTGTGAAAGAGAGAGAGAGAAGACTTGAGTAAGAAAATGAATTATGTAGGGATGGATGGTGATGATGTTGTTCAATAAAAATAGCTCATGATACATCGAATATTTCACAAAAATTGAACCAATTCATTTATTTACTTTCGCTGTAATCTCTGGAGTATTTATCTATGAAACGCTCATATTCAAAGGCAGATCAACATTGCTAGAATATGAATTATTTTTGCGTACTGTAGACATTGCTCAAGTCATGAAATGACTCACGATCTTACTCAGCTCCGTTAATTAGGGAAGCTATTGATTATACTGTTGACGACCCCTCCCGATATAGAAGGCCCCGACACTCTGTCGAATGAGGCCCGTTAATGGACGAACAATTTTTCATCATATATCATTATATCCGACAGGCGTCAGTGCAGGAATTTTCTCAGAAAATTTCCTGCATGTGCCATTGGCAATACAACTGAAAGAGTCGACCTTCAATTTTGGAACGGTTTCGCAGACCGGTTTCGGGCTCATTAGCCACTCATCAGTGCAAGATAGTGGCCATCATCGACCTAAAGTCAATGATATTCCATAATTGAAAATCGGATGGGATGATGGCCACTATCTTGCACTGATGAGTGACTAATGAGCCCGAAACCGGTCTGCAAGTGTGCCCGTTCCAAAATTGAAGGTCGACTCTTTCAGTTGTATTGCCAATTGCATATGCAGGAAATTTTCTGTGACGATTCCTGCAATGACGCCTGTCGGATATAATCCAACGCCCTTCGTGGTATTAGCCAGGGGAGTAGTTGTTTTCTGATACGCGTCAGTCCATTCAACCTACTGTGTAGGTATATTCGAGACTGGCTTGAACGTTTAAAGTTCATTTCTTTAGATTTGTTTGCTGCCAGTTTTCAAGCATAGCCCGCTGACTAATAAGAAAGTTCCTCAGAATTTGTTAAACATACTTTCATGTTGCCAGTTCCACCATTACAATATAAAAAAGTATTTTTTATAAAAAAAAAATCGATGACTATTGAATAATCCCCAAAGAAATGTGTAGATCATCTTTGAGAGAGTTAATGTAATAGTTGATTAAAAAAACAGAGCAAACACCAATTTATTTTCATTATTCAAAAAGTATTGAACGAATCAAAAGCACACCTTCGTGAATAAGAAAAGGCGATGAAATATCCTCTCACGAAGACGACATCTATGAGATCAACTGAAGACTCAAATCACGAATATCAAAGATACACGAGGCTTCCCTAAGGAGATATATTGAGAAACAACGTTTGACATAGATCACCGGCATAGATTATTTTCTTGTCTTTCACCGCAGCTTTCACTGCAAGATAACTAGGTGAAATTAGAGCCTAAAGAAAATAATTCTTGATCTAACATCTGACGGTGCTGTTTTGAACAACGAATGCATTGCTGGACTCAACTTTCAAAAGACAAACCTGGGTAACAATTCATTAAACTAGTTTCATTTAATTACCTTGAAAGAGAAGTCGGATATCGTTCCACTGTCGATGTCGAAGATTGGCAACGGTCTGCCTTAGGGAGCTTCGTTCATCTTTTATATTCGTGGACTGAGTCTTCGTCGATTATATAGATGGCGTTTTCGGCATTGCATTTGTGGTTCACCTCAGCACAACTGATGAGGCCTATGGCGAGTTGAAACTAGTAGTGAGAGATTGCGACAGGTTTTTTGAATTCACATAGGTCTGAAAGTATTCAATAATACAGGAACAATTCCTTTAACTGTTATTTTTTTTGTATGAAGCAGAAATGAATCATTAAATAGTTATGTGAGTTATCACGTACAGAACAATACTTTATTTCACATATACCTACCATAATATTATTCAGATATCATCGATCACCAATTATCATTCCAAAATCAATCATTTCCATAAACATTTCTGTTACACGCAACCCTACAATAAATCAGTATGTCTCCTTCAACAGATAATGCCGAGCTCAATCGCATGCGACCAAAAAATTACCAGGAAACTACTATCTGATGGAATGTATTAACAATTCAATGGAATGAATACATTTCCGATTTCAATATACTAACAAACTGAAAATGTGGAGGTCAACATGGTTTTCTCCGTAATTTTATGAATCTTTTAACCATCTACAGCAGAGGTGTTCAAACTTATTTTGTCTACCGCCCACTTTGAGAATTAATTATTTTCTAGTGCCCTTCAAATTTTTTTACTTTACTACATCTTAAGAATCACAGTCGCCGTCATTATTTTAATAATTAAATTATGTGTGTCATGTGAAAATAAGACTTTCTGATGAGGGTAATGTAAAACACCATTTTGTAATATTAGGAACACTTTTATTCATGTTATTAAAACAAACATTTCAATTTGAATTTTAAAACTAATTTAATGTGAAGGATGAATTTGATGGAGGTTCTCCAAATGTTGGCAGTAAACAAGTCAGTCGTCGTTGGTGACAAATTAGGGAAATTGCGAAACTCACGTCTGCCGATATTATTCTTGTATAAAAGCAATTTGGCTACAAAACCAGGAATGCTATTTTTTGTTTTAAACTAATTCAAGTCGTCACCTTGAAGTTGGAGAATGACATCATTAAATAATTTATACAGGTCTGTCAAGTATGCAATATTATTCTTTGAAGTGATGAGGTTGTCCTGCAATTCTTTGTTTTTGTTTTCCAAGAACTCTATTACAGAGTCGAATAGATTGTAAAATGGAGTCAGACAGTTACCTCTTGATAACCAACGCACTTCTGTGTGAAATAGCAATCGGTTGAAATCTTTATCATTAGCAACACAAAGCTGATTGAATAATCTGTCATTTAACGAGGCGCCCACTCAATTTTTTTGCAACCAAATGTTGCCTATGAATGACGCAATGTACAGCGAGCACATATGGAATTTTATTTTTCAAGTAGGCTATGAAGCCTTTGTGACGTCCTGTCATAGCCGGAGCGCCATCCGTAGCAGTTGATATAATATTCTACAGTAGAATTTCTTTCTCATCACAAAATTTTTTCAGTGTATTATATATTGTTTCTCCTTTTGTATCCGTCTCTAAATTTTTGACGAATAGTAGTTCTTGATATAATAATAGGTCTTCATTCCCAGAATGTTACAATAAATAAATGTGAACATTTACTGAAACGGGAAAGGCTGAAGATCAGTTGGTTGCTCAAAAGATACAATCTCTGTTTTTCATCTTAGGACTTCTTCTCATTTTTAATAAACCTCACGTATTATGAGAACAGCAATGCTTCATTGGTTCGTAAGCTGAATTGAGAATTTAGAAGTCTTCAGATGATTGCACAATGACTCTTCAATGTTTTCAGCTATCTCATCAATTCGTCTATGCACGGAACTATTGCTCAAAGGAATTATTGGGATAATATCTGCCACTGGTTTATGGTGCACATAGTGGTTATTACTTCTTTTATTGCCGGTAAAATTAAATCCTTTCCAATAGTGCGAGGTTTACCTGTTCGAGCAATTAGTAAGGAGATGTTGTATGAAGCTCGAAGCCCATATCGTGGTCTTGCTTAGAAGTCGCTAAAAAAAAGTTTTGACAGAGCTGGCTGAGCTGAGTTTTTCTTTTCCATTCCTTGAAAATAAGTCACATTCAGATAAGCATTCAGATGAAGCGATGAAACCCTTGAGGGTTTCATCGCTTCATTCGAAAATGTTTTTTGACAAAGAAGGTACATAGGCGAAGATGGATTT